CTTAACCGTTACTCCTCAAAAAGAAATTCACTCCAGTCATTAACCAACTCCCGTAGGAACCGCCGAGGTCTGATCAAGTTAAAGCTTTGGGGCTTGGAGCAAAGTGTTCATAACTATACATATCAAACTCTCTGGAAGATTTACGGATTATATACGGTGCTGACATTTAACTATGTAACTCTGATTCGCGAAGGACGTAAAATCCTTAATCAAGGCAGCTAAAAACATTATTTGTCTTGGGAAGGACACCGGATAAAAAATGGAAAAGCTATGTGTATCCGTATATTTCTATACTATGCGAAACTGTAATGGAATAGCATGGGGGGAAGGTACCCGAGGGGGGTTGGTAATTCATAAAAAGGGTGATGCGAGTAAAAAAGGGGCACGTTTCCATCACGTTCTAACTATGATCAAATGGACATTTCCGTGGCCTGAGTGACATCGTGTGTAAGGAGTTGTTGACGTGAATGAGGTGAATCCGGGGAGAACGCTAGGGGTGGCTTCAATTAAATAACAATCGAGGGTGATGAACCTGATGGGGTCTTTTAGATAAGATAACCGATGGCTCCTTCAACATCCCCACCAGCAGCTTCGAGGGCCTGCACTGCTTCTTCCCGTGTGAACCCCAAATCTGTTATCTTGGATATTAACTCTGCGGGCCATGGCGAGGCAGGTACAGGAGAGCTGGAGGAAGGTTGAGCGGGAGGTTGAAGGTCATGGCTATTGGAGGACGACAACGGGTTGGAAGGGGAAGGGTGGATGTTTATTCTTGGTGTGGAGGACGAAGGGGAGGGTGAATTTGCTGGCCTGAACTGGGACGGCGGGGCGGAGGATGAAGGTTGGCCGGCCGGTTGGGCAACTGCGCCTGATCTGGCACCGACAATTGCGCCATCCCGACCATGCACCAGAGGCTCGCCCTCAAGCTCATCGTGCTTAGGGATTTCTGCTTCGCTAAGGAAAGGCACGGTTTGGCCTGCGATTCTTAGGACGTTATCTTGCAGGTCAATGCAGGCTTGATGTCGCTTGAGCATGTCGAGCCCTATGAGAAGATCTATATGTTTGCCATCCATAACAGCGAATGAGCAGGAAAGGAATATATCCCCGATCTTGATCTGCGCAGAGTGCACGCGCCCCAAGATATCAGCAGTCCCAACGCCTTTCGCGACACCACCGTAGCGACGATCAATTAAACGCATGATATGGCATGCAGATGCACACTCTGGTGACATTATTGTGACCTGGGCACCGGAGTCGACAAAGGCCTTAACTCGGTGGCCATTCACTTCGACAGGAACATACAGCATGCTTACTCGTCCAAAAGCTAGAACAAAACTGTTAGCAAGTGAAGTTCACGTTAAGAGGGAGGAGGAGGAGGAGGAGGAGGAGGAGGAGGAGGAGGAGGAGGAATATTAAAGCGAGTATTACAACTCACCTTCTGGTGTATGCTCCATCGCAGCTTGTAAATTTTCCATAACCGCATTTTGGCGAATAATTTCCTCAATCTCCTTCTGCGCATCTACATTAAAGGGATCGGAATTTAACATGGCAATCTTCGCTTCCCTCGCAGCTAATGCCTCTGCCTCTTGCCGCTGTTGCATAAGCAACACTTCACGGAACCGCTGGGCATTTTCTGCTACTTCTGCTAACGCAGGGTTTTGTCTTCTCACCCCTTCCAACACTCTCGGGTCTCCAAGCATATGGAGTCGTAACGTCTCAGGATCTGGCATTTCTGCCTGCCTCCTAGCCAGTGCATCCTGTATAGCTGGATTCGCACCTGCTTGGCGCCGGACATTGTTTTGCCCTTGTTGCTGCTGCTGCGGGCTTGCTGTCTGGGTCTGGATTTGCATGGCAAGCATGTCCCCCTCCCGAATTGTGGCTTGAGATAAAGTTTGGGAATCGCTGGTGAGGAGCTTGTTATTGAAGAAAAGACGTAATGCAGATGAAGGTATGTTTATATCGCTTTGGATGACAGCTTTTAGGTCTGCGACGGTCATGTCCTCGCCAACATCAAGGGAGATGAGATCGGACTCGACATGTGTGTCGGATGCGACAACTGAAACTGAGATTCTCCTAGTAGATGTTAGTCACAACAAGAACAACGGCTAAAAATTCCACTCCTGTTATCCATGGAGGGAATCTCACATAGTTTAGTTAGGGAGGCCTGTCTGGCCTGGGGTTTGATAAAGATGTACAACACAAGCAAAGCTGAGCGGAGGCGGTGATAAATATGGTGTGGCAGCAATGAGTCAAATTGATCATATACAAAACGAGAAAGATATCTAAATAACGGGCTTTGTAAGGTAAAGCGAACCCGTTTCAGAGAGTCTGAGCGAGAATGGCGGGATTATAATGGGGTGAGCAAGAGTGCGGCGGGGACGGCGCAGAGGAGACCGCAAACGGAACTGATGCAGATCAGGAAGAGCAGCGCCAACAGTGGGTAAATGGCCAGAAGAGACGACGCAGCAATCAACGTTGAGAGCAACTGGAGAAGACTTAAAGCAAGGAAGATGAGAAGCTATCTACATCTAAGAAAAGTTATGTTCGATGAAGGGACATCAGCCAGATTAGTAACTACTAACTATAGCTATTTAACTAGTTACCTCTTCTCCCGTGGCTGCCAACGAAGTTACTGAAGATAACGTGTTTACCCAGGGAAGGCTGCTCTCAATTCTGCGATGAAGTTGCAACTCCTGAGCCTGAGTAGCCTCTCAAGCCGCGTTATTTAGCAAAATATCTGCCTGCCAGACCTGTGACGGCAGACGTGAACCGAGACTTAGTGAGAAAAAAAAAAAATAAAAATAAAAAAGAGGCTGCAGAATGACGCAGTGTTCCCCTTTAATCCCCAAACTTCCTCCATCAACCGCCGACCATGAGATCCTCTTTTGGCATCCTGCGTCAACCGCTCCAAATGGACCGCGCGCGATACATACGCCACCTGCTGCGCACCGGTGTCAACAGCCGCCAAACAAGTATTCTGAATGCCGGCGGAAGTCGACTACGCGCAAGTTCAAGAGGGTCCAATGGATTTGCTGGCGCTTCTCATGTAGGGTGAAACGATGCCATCCAGCTTCGCGCCTGGGTAGAGTGTGTTGTATGAGCATTTCTGGTTCTACAGAGCACGTCGACGGGGTGAACTATTGATGGCTTTGATGAAAGCAATTTTCCCCGCCAAAAATCAGCTATTACTTATGATCCCAATATTTAAGCAAATGTTGTTTGTGACCTGTCGAGTTCCAGTTGCATCCGCTTTGTCAAGACGGCTGCTGCAGAAGCCGATTTAAGCAACTTACATATTTGGTGGAGCCCAAAGGGGGAAGGGGATGCCATTTAACTAACACGCTGCTAATTATTTTCTGACAGCCGGCTTGTCTGATTTTGATATCTCTATTTCCAGCAGAGCAGAATCCAGCATGGATATTATAATCCAGCGTTTGCCCATGAACTAAGATATGATTCTCGATGCCAGACGAGCTACTGGCTGCGCTCTGCAAACGCCGATATGACACGGCTTCGTTGAGTGGTGGGGGGTTGTATGCACTCCCCACTGACAGTTGCCCGGATTGAAACTTGCGATCCATTTACTTCTTCGCCTGAAATCGGTCCCAGGGGGGTTACTAAATGGCGATCATGCAACGCTGATCAGATGAGTTTGGTTACCGGCTGCAGATGTGGTTCGATCGTGGGATTGGGGACAGAAACTAACCAGCCAACTAATAACAGTGTATATTTCAATTTGGCTGTGTCCAAAATGATTTTTGGGGGGTGAGAGAGAGACATAATTCAGGCCTTGGGTGGTCCGTCTGATCATGGAGGATTGTTTCTTATGAAAATATCTAAGGAAATGGGCCCTCCCTCTTCCTGG